TTGACCCTTTTATACAATTTCATCAAGCGGAACAGAGCACAGACAGCAACAGTATTGTTTTTGGTTTACTCCCTCTTTTTTCCCTTGTGAATCCAGAAGGCCATCCCAACCAAGGTTGAATCTCACATAACTCCCTGATACGGCCTGTCTGTGCTCGGTGAGATCATAGGTTAAAAGAAAACGGCTACTGAGACCATGGCAGTTTGCTGCGCAGGTCTCTACGTAACCTTGCCTCTCATTCCTACATAGAATAATGGCGACTCATCATATCATCTGAACTTGGTTGTTTAAGTGATATTATTCAGTGAATGTTAGCGCCAACTTTCTAATCCTTTTCAATCAAACCAAATGAAACTGGTATTCCTAAAACAGCGGACTCAGGAAAAGGAAACATTTTGAATTTTACCTAGCATTCCTTGTGAATCCCACGTATACTCATACCATGTCCGAACACGATTCTGAACAAGCCATGGAATTGTATAAGTATTCATGTAAGCAACTGTGTCATCCATACAGGCACGATAATAGTTTTCCCCTGCTGTTGCTGCTCCAATAATATCACGCATCTGCAAATATCAGCCATTATCATTACATGTTATATTATAATAGGATCTTGCTAACTTAAAATTTTAGTTGCAATACAAATTGGTGTCTATGTAGTTTGTACTGGCTTTTCTAAGTTTCCATATTATTTTATCTTAGAATATATTTTAACAGTTTATTAATTCACTAATTGAAAAGAAGGTCATTTAATAAATGGAACAGAGAGATCTGTGATATAGTAGATTATTTTCTATTTTAATTTAGGATTTTCTATTTTGGCAGTATTTATTTCCACCACTTTTCTTTTTGGATTTTAACTTGAAATCTGCATGTGAAGCATATGCACTGCAAGTAAGAGCTCTTTTTCATAACCAAACTAAAATGTTGTTTACCACCCTTTGAACTAACAGAAAATTATACTGGCCTAAAATCCTTATCCTGCCACAGGCATGGTATCATCCAATTGTGCTGTTCTTATTTATTGTCCACAAGACATCATTCAAGAAAGGCAAGGATCTTAGGAAGAAACTTAAAGTATTTCAACTGTTTTTAGAAGAGACAAGAAGCAGTACCACACAACCTTTGTAAAGATATTGAAGATGGAAACAAATCTGGGAAAACAAAGATCTTGGGACTGATGATGATATTCAAATCTCAATTAGGTATGCTAAGAGATGTCAATAAGTATTTCAAAGAAGATCAATGAGAATGGAAGGAATGTTGTATAGTAGAGAAAACAAAGTCCTAGAAAACTTGGAGGATAATCTATATCAGGCGTGTCAAACTCATGTTGTCACAGTGGCAACATGTGATGTATTGGGACTTTTTCCCCCTTCACTAAGCTGAGCATGGCATGACCAGTACATGACACATCTGGCCTGTGGGCTGGGAGTTTGACAGCCCTGGTATACACATACAAGAAATCCTAACACTAGAACAGAATAACAATGTTGGAGGGGATCTTGGAGGTCCTACCACTAGAAGATGTTCAGTCTACACTGTGATCATTACCAAGTTTGTAGGCTACAGGAATTGATGGAATATCTATAGTAATATGGCAAATACAGTAACACAGTAATATTTTTGTTTACCTGGCCAATCAAACTGGAGAATACAAAGACACCTGAGAAAAAATTCGTAAGTTGAAAGCATATTTCAAACAAAGTGACTGGTTCTGGTAGTCCACCAATAGTAATCAAAGTGCGAACAGCCCAGTAGTAACATCTTAGATACCTGTAGATATAAAACAATTACTGATATCATTATTTTTCTACAATGGTTGTACTGAATATTAACATTCAGAGTAAGGAATAATGCTTTTTTCCAAAGCAGTTAATCATGGGAATAATAATAATAATAATTAGGTAATGAAGCACAGAGATTTTCACTACTATTTTATCTAGATAAAGAGTAATTAAGAAATTGTGTGCCCTGTAAGAGTAGCTGTCTAGTTGTACAAATCGAGCACTAAGCATACAACCAATAATGCAGATATGTTCTAGTCCAGTGATGGTGAACCTTTTCAGCACCGAGTGTCTTGAACATGACCCTGAAGAGGAGCTGCCCAGTTGGCATGCATGCCAGAAAATGAACTTCTGGTTTTTGGCGCGCACATGCACATCGGCCAGCTAGTCTTCTGGTTAATGGCATGCATGCATGCACAACAATCAGCTCATGCTCACACTGGAAAATGGAAGACTAGTTTCCAGAACTGCTGCACGCATAAAGGCCAGCTGATCATTGCATATGCATGCATTGCAGAAACCTGGAAAAGGGTGATGCTGCATGTGCCAGGCAACATGGCTTTGTTTGCCACTTCGAGCAAGCATGCCATAGGTTCACCATCATGGTTCTAGTCAGTTACATGGATGTAGGGTTTTTTGTAGATCAGAATCTAAATTGACCAAGGCAAGAAAGATTATGACTGGATTTATTAGTCAAACTATCATCTCCAAGGCATCAATGGTGACATCAATGGTGAGGTGCGAGCAAGGATGAATGTAGCCTGGATCCGTTGTTGAGAACTCAATGGTGTGTTACATGACATATGAATGCCAACCTGTCTAAGACAATCATCCACCCTGTTGCACTCTATGGCACTGAATGCTGGGCAGCAACAACAGGAACCAAAGCTATCTCCATGCCATGGAAATGTAAATGCTCCATTGGATATTGGGCATCCCCCTTCTGGACCACATCACAAATGATACCACATTTTGTTGTGGCACCAATTATAGAGAAGATGAGAGAAGGGCAACTCCACTGGTATGGACATCGCCAGAGAGCAGCATCTTCCACCATAGCCAAGACTGCCTACTAACTAGAAGTCAATGGCTGGCAACCTGGCGTCCAAAACAGAGATGGCAAGACACCATCAACAAAGATATGCAAGCCGCTGGCCTGCACCCTGGAGATGCAGCTGACCATGCAAAGTGGCACTCAATGATCCTAAAGCGGACCCTGCACCTGCAGGAATACGCTAGGAAGAAGATTTATTAAGCCAAACTAAGCCATGCTTTTAAATTGGCTTCTAAGCTGGGCTTCCAAATTTGTTTCAAATCAACCTGCATTCTTCTGGATAAGCTCTTAGGAAATTGCCCAAGTAACACTGTGACTGAGCTCACAGAGCCAAAGTTTGCTTTAATCATAGCTTGTTAAATCAATACTGCAACATGCTAAACCATAAACTTTAAATTTACTAATCATACTGAGTTCACATAATCAAAGAAACGATGCTATTGGTTTGTGTGCTGTGTGAATGTTGCCAATGTGATTGCCATCTTTAAATACCTGCAGAATAGCCAAGTAAACAATGGAGCAATGTGTATGTAACATAAAATGTATATCACACACCGTTTGCAGTGTTAGTTGACTGAATTTAATGTTTCTGTTCCTGGAAAAGCAGATGGGAAGAACGAGACAAAACAATAAATGATAGAAAAAACACCTCGTTCATGTAGCACAAAATACAGTGGGCCTGTCTGTGTCATAAACTAGCCAATAGGGCAGGTGCTTTGTCAGAGAAGACACAACTCCTGCTTCCCACAAGATAATTTCCTAATAGAAGGGAAAGTCCATGTTGTCCTTGCTAGATGTGATGGGATGAACAAAGGCTATGAGGCAGATGGTCCTGCAAGTACCTGAACCCTGTGTGTGTGTAGCTTTATATGTTGCGAGTATGTTATGACCAGCAGCTTGAATTGCACCCAGATGCTCGCTGGTAACCACTATAGCTCAAGAGTAAGAGGTACCATGTGAGTGTGTAGCAAAGTGCCCAAACTTCCTACCCTGCTGCATTCTGGACCAGCTGTAGCTTCAAGAGCAACCAAATGTAGAATGTATTATAGTAATCAAGTCTGCTAGCAACTAATACATGAGTTATTGTGAGTAGGGCCTCCCAATATAGAAACAGATTTTAATTTAATTTAATGCCACTCATCTCACAAATGTTGACTATATAAGCTTAGATTGTGTATTTTACACATTGCACAATGTGTAAAATACACAATATCAAAATAAAAACTCATAGCAGATGAGCATCACAAAAACAACTGCCGACAAACCCAAGAGACAGGCTACATCGCATACTTAGGACTCCAGGTCTGGTTAGAAAGCCTTGGTTTGGGGCCTTGTAACAAGCCAACAAGATCAGGGCTAGTCTAATCTCAGGTGGCATGGTGTTCCATAAGGTAGACGTCATGGCAGAAATGGTTTCTTCCAAGCCCTACACTCCTTAGTCAATAGCACCTGCCAATCTAGGTTGTAGAAAGGTTCTCTAGTCATATCTATTACCTGATAAATTAGAAGCAGATGTGAATGCAGAAAGCCCCCCAAATTATGTTTGAGGAGTTACTACCCAATTCAGAGATAAAAATTGCAAATCTCTGGATCCAGGGGACTTCAGAATTATATTACTTCTCTGGATCCAGTAGTTTTAGACTTCCCCAGGTTGCAATCTAGCAAATCTAATTGTGCTTTATTTCTCACTTCCCAGTCCTCTCTTATATTCCTGTGAAATAAGCTTCCTGAAACTAAGGAAGTGTTTATCTGAGCTGTTTGCTCCCTTCCTCAGATTGTCTTGGGCTTGAGTCGTGCTGCTCACTGTGTCACTGTGAGAATGGATCTTGTTTATCGCTGTCAAGGTCATCTTTTCTATTCTCTGCAAAATGGCACCCTGTGTGCTTATATTACTGGAGTGTTCCCACAGGGTGTTGTGCAAGCATGATTTCTAAGCTCTCCAATTCTTCAGTTGGGGGCTCTGCATTTTGTGTGCTTTTACCTACTTTTCAGAATAGTTTTACTTACTGCAGATGTCTGACATTTGTAGACAGTAGGACACAGGGCTTGAGATTTAAGCTGTCTTTGGACATTTCCATAGTAACTATTCACTTTCTTAGAAATATATACTTCAGAGCATGTTATCTTCACTTCATCACACCCACCCATTCGTTTTAGTTTTCCTTCTGTGAATTTATGTATGATATGGCATCTCTTCCCTAGTCACTTCAAGCAGTCAATTATAATAAATACTGTTATCTTCCACAGACATTATCTTTTTTAAGAACATGTTTGCATATGACCTTCACTGTAAGTAAAGAAATGGTGGAATTAAATCCTATAAAGCCTCTTAAAAGGAAAGATATTGTCTCTTATGATCTGAATGATGCATTATTTATTGCATTTAGACTTCTTTGATCTTTTCCAAGTGGTAATTTTCTTATCACTTTACACAATGAGTCAGTTTAATTTATGAAGCCATGTGATGGCTAAAAGACTGAGGAAAAAGATGAAGTCATTAACATTCACTGATAAAATGAACCGGATGCTAACATTCACTGTACCAGTCTTCCATATAATAAGCACATTTTACTGCTGTTAAAACTGGAGCAAAAGGTTACCAGTGGAAACGTTTATGAATGTTTAGCATTTAATTAAGATGACAGGGGAAATGTAACATAAAACCACTTGCATGTTTCCTTCGCCATCATACACCCATTTGGTACTACCAAGTCCTTGATAGGTTGATGCCCAGTAATATATGCATGCATTAATATGCAAGACAAACAACAAGTATCCAATAGTTCGAATGACCCTGTGAAAGAAAGAAAGACCCAAAGTTTATGTAAGTTCTGAGATGCATTTTTTTTCTGAGTTTGCTTTTTCTTAGGAAATTTCGATTTTGGTCAATAGTAACACTGACACCCACCCAATATTAACAGGATTAAAAAAAGCTACTAATATATTTTACTCTTTTGAAATTCAATTCCTATTTAACTGGTCTAGGGACACTAGTGAATTATGTTTCCTGGAGGATAACACAGCTGGCTAATTAAATTTACATTGGATATTTGGAAATAAACATTTCTTTTCGTGAAATAATATTTGGTGGAAGCTGTTGATGATAAAATCAGAAATGCTCAGACTAGAGAGATTTGAAATGAAAACATATTCTCGTTGCCTCCCAAGGACATTGTTTATTGAGAGGCAGTCTGGTCTGATGGTTAGGGTACCAGGCTAGAAAACGGGAAACTATGAGTTCAAGTCCTGCCTTAGCCATGAAAGCTGGATGTCTTTGGGCCAGTCATTCTCTCTCAGCCCAACACAACTCACAGGCTTGTTGTTGTGGGGAAAATAGGAGGAAAATGATATGGCTTGCTGCTTTTTGCTATTTGTAAAAATAATAAATAAATTAGATAAATTGTAAAGCCCCACGTGGTTGACAAATTCAAGCAGAAACACTGATTTCAAAAAGGCATATTTAATGTGCTAGCCAGAGCAAAAACATAATCTTGAAGACTGAAAGAGTACCTACCCAGGCAGATTTACAGTAAGTCAATTAAGACAGAGACTCTTTGAAACACTTTTTTTCCATACCTCTAAATCTAGGCTGTGTTGCTGCTTTTCAGTTAAAACTACCTTGACTGGTTTTACAATATCTGGAGTAGTCTATCACAGCAATCAAAATTCTAACAAAGAATCTTTTGCCACAGATACGTGGGAAGAAAAAGGCAATAATTAATACACACACAGACACATCTCTGAATGAACCATAAATCATTTTGTTGTGTGAAGTAAAGATTCTATCTAGCAAAGTTTTGTCTGAGAGTCTTATGCTAAGACTAGCCAAGCCCAGGTATGAAACCTGACAGATTTTGCTAAGTATTGTAGATTCTATTATATCACACCGGGACTTAATTCTGGTAACATAAATATTGTTCATTTAAATGTCAAAATCTAGATTTCCCACAAGACTCTAGACTTTATAACATGTTCCATGTGATTGCATGAATTGTTCCATTACAGATTGCAGATAAAGCTGCAGAAAACTATAGAAAACTGCATCTTCCCCCTCCTCATCATCATTCCAAAATATTAAAATATTTATGAAGACTATGCTATGTGATACTATAACATTGGTGACACATACCTGTAGATGTATGCTTTATCCATTACTGCCTCTAACTTGTCATTGAATTCAAAGAATGTGAGATGCTAAATATAAAACAAGAAAAAGTAAAACGACCTCTATAATGCATTTTTCTCATAAATTGCCTACCTGTTCCCTTTTTTATAGGGGAGGTGATGTTTTTTTTCCCCTGATAGCAAATCAGTGTTTTTGACACTGTTGTTTTATTCAGTTAACCAAACTTTCCTGACTAAGTTTTGCTGATTATATTTATTCATGACTTGATTTTTATATAATTAGCTTTTTGAAAGAGAGACAATTGTCTGAATAACTTCTTCTTAAACTTTGCAAATTAAAAAGCATCTTTAATCCATTAATTTGAAATTAAATTAGATAAACAGATCATGAGTCAGGACACCTCTCACCCCAAAAAGTACAGAGTCTAAAAATCATGAATAAGTACTTAATTTGCAGCATTTACATAATGAAATCATCTTACATATATAAATTTACCCTTGACCTCTTCTGTGGATGCTCATGCCTATCTTTCCTGCTGCTTTTTAAAGATTTATTTATCCATTTATTTTTAAAGGAAACCGATATACGTATTGCATATATGCAATATCAGTCACAGCTATTATACTTTACATGAATAGTTTTGGGATCCACAGGCATCTTAAGAAAGTAAAAACAGTAAGTAGTTACCGGTATACCCACATGCATCTTCATTCCCTCCTCAAAACACAAACAGGCAAACATTGAAAATCAAAGATAAAAATATTTGTAGAAGCATTTTGAGACAGAAATTTCACAGCAGCAATTTTGTAAATATCCCCAAAGGGAATAAAATCTAGTTCACATTCCAAATGTACCCATTAGCCTAAAGAAGTGTTTCTCAACCTCTTCAAATTTAAGACGTGTTGACTTCAACTCCCAGAATTCCCTAGTCTGTCCACATATCTTAAAACTGACAGGTTTGAAAAACTCTAATTTAAAAATGTCTTTGTATAAGTGTAAATCTAACTGAACACAGTGAGACCTATTTTTAGATAAACTTGTACAATTACATTTATACTGTAAATTTACATTGCAAATTTACATTGCAAATTTACATTGCAAATTTACATTGCAAATTTACATTGCAAATTTACATTAATATTAATTCATAAAATAAATGTCTCCTAGTGTCCAACATTAGTGTATAACATTTTAAAATTCATTCAGAACTGAAAGAAATGAATGAGCTTTTTTCCTCAAAGAAAAATATTTGAAAGATAGTAGGAAAGCGTGTGGCATGTTTTTATTTTGAATTGGTCTCATCCCCAGTGTGATCAATGAACCATAAGGAATATGAATTTTATCCCAGGATTAAGAGTAATAATAGATAATCTCTTCTTACCTTCATTATCCTGTTTACTCTAAATATTGCACTGATTCCAAATATAACGTATAAAACATCAAATGGAATTACTGAAAATACATCAAGCTGGTGAAGCAAACAATTCAGTTAGTCTTGCTTAAATTAATATTAATCTAATACTTGTATTAAAAGTTACTCAAAGTTTTGATTATTAGGGGGAAAATGTTATGATAAAGGATACAGTCAAATAAAGGAGGGATAATGATAACAACATATATGTATGTATGTATGTATGTATGTATGTATGTATG